GAGCAAAAACAGTTTGTTGCCTAAATCACAGCTCACCGTTCTTTTTCACTTTTCTGTTTAATTTCTACGACAAACTGAGACGTTCATACGCATAAATCTTTACTGAGTTGGAAACAGACACAACTTAGAGTAATGGATTTTGTTTTCCTTTAATATGTCACCCAAGTGTACTTTCTCCTAAGGAAACAAATTCAGGAACGTGCTCAGAAAGACGTTTCTTCTCCGTCTCGGTTGGGACAATGTGTAACAGTTCTGTCTGTATCACAGCCATCAGCCACATAACAACACATCTTTCTTAAATTTACAGCTTCGTTGATAATACTCTGTCACACTGTTGTATTCTGGTCTTTCTGTCTAACTTCTGACCTTTGAACCCAGTAGTGAAGGGGGCTTATCAGTGCTGCAGCAATGCATTATGGGACATGAGTGTGTTCTTAACCAGTTTGAGTCCAAAGTCAGCTATTAATTAGAATGACAAGTAATGTGGTTGTAATGTGACCAGACACTCACTTGATTGCACGTCAGGAGGAGAACTGTTGGGATTCTAGTGTGTTGTTGTGATTGAACTTTAAGTGAATGAATGAATGAATGAATGAATGAATGAATGTGGGTGAGATCAGAGGCTCAGATTGTCCTGAAGATCCAGTCACACGTGGTTTTAATAAAACGATGCTGCTCAGTGAAGTGAAGCAGGCGGACAGCTGTACATTATGTCTGCATGACTTCACTGCTGCTGTGACACACTTTCATCTTATTATATAATACGCAGCAACACTTATAGAGGCACATTTAGGCTTTAAAGGGTGAAGCACAAACATGAGAATCAATCAAAAATGGCACATTTTAAACACAATCCTGGGAATAAAATGAGCCATATTTCATATTAAACCTACTACTGGAGACACATAATAAGACAGTGAGATTTAAGGGACAATAAAGCAGGATAATGTCAATATTAACACACTGGAGCTGCACATGCTCTGATTAAAACAAACACAAAATATGATCATAAAAAACATGAGATAAAACTACTTTTTTTCCCCCAACTATGTCCTCATCAAACTGGACTCCAGCATGTGTTATGGCGACACAAGTTCACCTCTTACCTCTGAACCAGAAGCCTGCCTCTGCTGCTGCCTCTTCCCCGCACATCCAGCACCAGCGACCCGCAGCAAACCGTCCCTGGAAGCCCGCAGCCGGAGCACCGAGCCCCCGGCCCCGACCGTCATCCGAGCCCACATCGTGCACCTCGAGTCCCCGCTGCAGCTCTCTCGCTCACTCGCTGCTCCGGATGGAGGAGTCAACTTTGAGTTTTTCCCAAACTCTTTGGACTCCACACTCTGGAGTTTCTGCTTTCCTGGCAAAAACACATGAAGCGCAGCGGTTGGAGGAAGGAGCAAGGACTTGTGGGAAATGTAGTTTATGTGTTTTTATTCGCTCTGCATCCTGGTTGATGCAATTAATTCATCATTAGACTGTGTCTACTAAAAAATACTAATAAAATCCACAGAGTGTGCACAGATTAGATTATATTGATTAATGATAAATCCAAATATTAGTCTGGACCACTTACGCAGAATCAGCACTAAATACTGAGACCATCAGGAAATCTCCCCCAAAAAATCTCCCAAAGATAAAGATAGCTCAGTTTAACTTATGTCACACATAGAAAAAAGTGGATTGAGTACATAATATGACCTATAACTCTTTTATTACCAGTATTTTTCACTAATTGGTCAGATAAATGTGCGTAATATCCAATATTAGGGGGTCTTTATCTTTAACCCTTTGAACTCCAGCCAGTTTCTGCCTGTTTCTTTGCTCCTGACACATTTTTACTCACTGTGGGCTCATTTTTCACTGCAATATAAAGTCCTCTATGGAAACTGGAAATGGAAAAAGCACAGACGATGTTAAACACTGTTTTACACTGTATTTATGGGGAAAAGTTCGAGGGTAATTGCATGTAAACTCAATCAGTGCCTCCCACTTGACCCCCTTAGAATCAGCTGGCTTGTTTTTGCTAAATAATATTTATTGAAGAGATGCAAAATTTTGCCTTCATAGTATGAATATTTCCACGTTATGGGCCCTCGAAGTATCTGAGTTTGAACCTTCAGTATGTGACAACTTGTTTTGATCAACCACCCATCCTACATGGTGATATGAGCCTTCAAAGTTTACTCAGAATGCACTTTTTCCAAATTTCCCACTGTAGATGAGATAGCAGATTAAGTTTCTACGACTCCTTATCATAGATGTTAAACTGCTGCAGTTCTACTGTCATATATTGGTGATGTATTGATGCACAGAGTTGGTTATAGAAAAAAATCATGTTAAACACAAAACAGTTTTTGACAACTGAAATGGATGTAAAATTGATTTTGTTGCTGTTTTATTTATAGAGCTGAATGGGTTTATTTAGTCCTGAAAATGTGTCTTTCTGATGTACTGTGAAATTATGAAGGCTCAGAAAAGTATGATAAATTAAAAACCGCAAAATTTCGACCCACTCCTGTTTATTTTGAGGGCCTGGACCTCAAACATTATCCATAGTGGGAAGGTCAGGTTTTGTATGGCTTCACTAAATATCGCAGGTTTTTGTAAATAGATAAAATAATAATAGTATATATAGATATAGATATGTATTAAATGTGCTGATTTGTAGAGGGTCCAGCAAGAACTTTAGTCATATTTGACTGATTTCATGGGAACATATTTAGAATATTTTGGTGGTGTTTTTATCTTAAGCTGTCAACAAAGACACTTTAATACTCTTCTGTCCTTTATGAACATTCATTTTTATTATTAAACCCTTTATTTTTTAAATTCTGCATTTTAACTGGGAGCATAGCAGCATTAACAGCAGGGATTTCTTTGTTTCTGAAGGTGTTCAGGCTCCGATAAAACTCCCACCTGACTCTGATATTTGCCCATGTGGGTATTTGTGAGTGTGTTTATCCCCATGTACCCCATCACGCCCTCCACCCAGATCATTGAGTCATCCTTTGGCCTGAGCAGCTAATTATAACCCCGTGTCTCGGCTGCTATTTTAGGCCCCGGAGCTCCTGCAGTTAGCATGTTTGGAGGGGTCTGAAAAGATTTCCTGACTCGCCTCTGACTGTCTGTACGGGGCAGCTGGGGTGGGCTAAATCAGAACATAGACACACAAACATAGTCAGTAGTAGGAGGGCTTGGTTCTGGGGCGTCCTGCAGTTGCTCAGTTACTCATGAGGAGCAGCGACCTGAGGCCAGACCTCTACTTTTCCTTTGGTTTTTAGACCAAACACTGGGATTAAACATTTACAGCTGGGATCAAATTTGAGCTCTGTTGGATTATTTTCATCTCTGTGCAGCTCCCGGGGAACTTATGTGGACATTTAATTGAATTTACTGCCGTTCTCGTGGGTGCAGACACATGTTTTGGCAATCGCATGTCACAAGAGCGACTGACGAGAAGAAACAGGCAGAAAACACAAGGCGGCGTTTGTTCATGGTGACAGAAGGTAGGTGGCTCCTGGTTTATGTCAGACTGGTTTTATCCAATAAAACACACCTGCTGCGGTTTGTCGAGTTCAGGCAGGTACAGGCGGTACATTAGAAAGTCAGGCAGGTTAGCAGAGGAACTCGTCTGCTCATTCATTCACTCTGTTAGTCTTCAGATAGGAGCCCGTCGTGTCCTTTGGAACATGATTCAAATTCCAGCAGCATTGTGCCCTTAATGGTTTGACAACCGGCTCTAATAATAGCGCTGATAAATCAGCTATGCACATGACCAGTTGTTTTGTCTTCACAGACCGAGCTGATGTGTTTTCTGGCCCTCTCACATGACATATTCTGACATATACACTCACAACTTACTGCATTATTTCATTATTTTCATCCTTCAACGGCCTCCCCCAGCAGCTTCATCTCTATTTGTTACTCACAACAGAATGAACAATTCCAGCAGCTTTAGTCCTCAAACTGCTGGTATTTTCCACAGCTGACTTTCTAATCACAAACTAAGCATCTATCTATAGTCCACGTTAGCAATCCAAGTTATTCACAGCCCACCTCCCTCATGCACTGTTTTAGTGGATCAACAAACTCTTCATTAAGACTTGTTGATAAGTTAACGGCAGCTGGAAATACTCTCTAGAAGCACTAACAGGCGATTTGACTTTAATGTTGCTGCTGAACAAGGTTGCGCTCTGGATCGCTTACTGACCTCAACTTCAAAGTTCTTCCATTTCTGAGTCGGCAAATCCTCGGACTGGTTTTAAAGGCACGTTATCTTTGTAAAAAACACAGAGATGACGTTATTTATTGGCCCCAGAAACTTTAAATACACAAAGAATTGCTGGATCTTCAACCTCCTGTAACTAATAATCTATGATGTGTCATTCTGTCTGGAAACTTAACCAAATACGCTTAAAATTATATTATAATTATAATGATAATTGCATTTCATCAAATGTACTTAATTTTACATGTCTCACTTAAAAGTTAAGGGTTTGGTCTAATCAGATTCTGTAAGAAAAAAAACAAAAAAAACCCCCCAAAAAACCCCAAGAAATTCTGTGCAACAACAACAACAATAATTTATAGAGCACTTTTTAAAATCCAAATCACAATGTACTGGCCATCGCAGCACAATGAATCTAAGCTATGCTAAGCTAAGCTAAGATAAAATAATACTTTTATTAATCCCACAGTGGGGATATTTGCAGTGTTACGGCAGCAAAGGTAGTGCAAAAGATGTGCGAACTAGCTCACTGTTCTTGCAAACCATCAGACATTAAGCATCTCTTCATCCTTTATTTTCTCTGAAGACGAGCAGAGATGTCGAGGCCTCCTTCCTCCCAGACGACTCCTCAGTCCTACAGGGTCAGTGAGAGAGATCTGACCGAGATCGAGCTGCATTCTGTGGACTCCATCAATGACCTGCACCGGATACACTACGAACACAGCCACAAAGGTATACACACAATCTAAACACAGCCACAAAGGTA